GGGCTTCGGAAGACTGAGCTTGAGCTCTGCACTCACTTTTGCAGCGCTTCTTTTCTTATTCTGGGTCACAATCCTGTGCAATGTCCTTTTGTCTCTTTCGTTCAGTTGACTAATGAGCTTATGCTCATTAGGTGACGTTTTCCTGGAAACTGTATATGCCCTCAAAAACTTTGATACTGTACCTCAGGACAACGCAAATAAATAAGCAACTTCTTTGAAACTTCCTATTTGAAACTTAGTAAGCTCTGACATGACTCCATAATACTAGCAGCGCACGCAGTGAATTGCAAAAGTGAGACTTCCCGCATGTTAGCTAGGTGTCTCATCACGCAATGGAAGCAAAAGAACGTTACATCACTTCTGCTTTCAATTCAAAACATTTCGGCACTTTCACACCTGCAAAGCATGTAGTGGTTTCATTTTTTGGTCCAAGCCCTGTACATGCTTCTCTATTGTAAGGATTGACGTGAAAAGGTCTATGTGTGATTTCAGTAAATAAAAATTGTACGTAAAAAATACTACCCACTTTAATAACTTGAAGACTATGGTGTATGAGGTATGCCTCCCAAAAACTTTATCTAAAACCTGACATAAATGGCTCACTTTTTTCTTGGGTTGAATGGAAGAAAATCAATCAATCAATTGAGAATATCTAATAAACTGTCAACCTCGATCAGGTGGGTTCGTTATTCTTCTTTTCTGACAATGCACACAATGTTATGCTCTGTGGGAATCTCATATGACAGGTATTGTTAAGTGGATGAATATGATCAGAATCTGGAAGCATCCCCTAAGGATTTTTACATGTTTTCTGACAACTGAAAACGGTGATGTTAAGGAAAACTGTTACATTAGGTCAATGTACATCCAACAGCTGAGACTTACCTCTAGTACAAGAAGAAAAATCTTGTTCTGTGAGCAGCTGCCATGCTTTCAGACATATTTCGCACCTTGAGGTAATTGACAAATCCCCTAAAGAACAGCAGCAATCCTGAAATAAATACAAAAAAACATAAATTAACCAAAAGTAAAAACTACTAACTAACTGATTCATTATGCATCATTTGGTGCCCTGCCAGCTGGGAATGGAGGCAGGTTTCTGCAGCTCTTCCTACCATTAGTATGGAAGAGACACAGAGGAATTCATGATGCCAGTAATTCAAGTATGTTAGCCATGAATGTCTGATATTATGTAGGTCTCTTGTTGCCTATGTTCCATAGACTTTCTAAGAGAAACATAAAAGCAGCCATTGCTGACATCTCAATCTTAAAATGCGTGTTGCTTGGCTGTCATACTGACCCCGTGGCTTCAGTACTGTGAGCCACTGAAAAAGTGTGCAAATTAGGACTTCTGATTTTTCTCTGACTTTCGTGATCTCTGAAAGCACTGATTGCAGAGGTCAGCATAACAGCAAAGCAAATAGCATTCTCAGGAGGAGGAGGTCTATATTGGCAGCACCCACATAGAAAAAGTTTACTTTAAAATTTTGTCACCTGTTGAAGGCAATAGGTGGAGTGAGATTGCATACCCTTGGATAACTGGGCTGGAAACTTTAGTGACATGAAAGTGATTGTAATACACAATACTAATCCCACTTCATAAACACATGCTTGTTGGAGCTTCTTGGAGTGAGTAAAGAGCATGGAAGGTAAAGGGAAACAAGGGTATTGAGGCAAAATGAGATCCTTCATGACATGATCTTGTTGCCTAATTACATGAAGATAATACAAACATGTGAAATAAAAATAACTAAAACTGCCTACTTAGGCTTAGTAAGTGTCCTATCCTTTCTTTTGTTTTTTGGCATAAATTGTTTTGTTGGGGACACCTTCCTCAACATGATGATATAGGGTTACAGGCACCATTACAAACATTAACTGAGTATAGGCTTTTCCCGTATCCACTTTGATTTTTTTATCGGCAAAACAAACATATCAAATTTGCTAGGAAAGTAAAGATACATTACAAGAAGCCAATGCTGAAAGATATACAGTGCATTCAGAGAGTATTCAGACCCCCTTCACTGTTTCCAATGTTGATATGTTGCAGCCTGATACTACAGATGTTTACATTCATTTTGTTTCTCCTTAATCATTTGCCCTCCTGAGGATTTACCCCCTTCCTGACCAGGCCTCTTTTTGCTACTCGGCGCTGCACTAATTCAACTGATAAATTGCGCGGTCATGCAATGCTGTACCCAAACGATATTTATGTCCTTTTTTCACACAAATAGAGCTTTCTTTCGGTGGTATTTGATCACCTGTGCGCTTTTTATTTTTCACGCTATATAAACAAAAAAAATGAAACATTTTGAAGAAAAACAATATTTTTTACTTTCAGCTATAAAAAAATATATAGTAAACTCAAAGTTAGTTAAAAATTTAGGCCAAAATGTATTCTGCTACATGTTTTTGGTAAATAAATCACAATAAGTGTATATTGATTGCTTTGTTTGAAAGCTATAGTGTCTACAAACTATGGTATAGATCAGCAATGGGCAAACTACGGCCCGGCGGACCTTTTAATCCGGCCCACGGAGCGTGGCAAACATTGCCTGTCAGGATGTGTGTAGGCGGGGCAGCGTGAGGAGCGGGGCAGCGTGAGGCGGGCAGCAGGGGAGCTAGGCTCCTCTCACAGTCCGCCCTGAAGACCGGAACGGCGCGGGAACATGGCGAGAGGAATACGCAGAGCAAAGGTAAGTGAATTGACACAAATATGGGGAATGAATTACTATAGGGGGGATAAATTACTATAGGGGGGATGAATTACTATGGGGGATGAATTACTATAGGGGGGATGAATTACTATAGGGGGGATGAATTACTATAGGGGGGATGAATTACTATAGGGGATGAATTACTATAGGGGGGATGAATTACTATAGGGGGGAGGAATTACTATATGGGGATGCATTACTATATGGGGATGCATTACTATATGGGGGATGAATTACTATGGGGGATGAATTACTATATGGGGGATGAATTACTATGGGGGATGAATTACTATATGGGGGATTAATTACTATGCTTACTATGGGGGAATATTACTATACTTACTATGGATGACACATACACATCATTCATCTACTCTTGGTCCGGCCCCCGGGTCCAATATATGAACCCATTGCGGCCCTCAAGTCAAAAAGTTTGCCCACCCCTGGTATAGATACTGCAATTTACGCAAATTAGTTTAACTGACAATTGTGCGGTCATGCAATACGGTACATAAATTAAATTTATGTACTTTTTTCACACAAATAGAGCTTTCTTTTGGTGGTATTTGATCACCTGTGCTCTTTTTATTTTTGGCGCTATAACCAAAATAATTTTGAAAAAAAAAAAATTTTTTTTTTTTTTTACACAGAGTTATTTAAATGATATAATTCTCACACAAGCCATGAGTATATGTGGAATTACACTCCAAAATACCTTCTGCTACTTCTACCGAGTATGGGATACCACATGTGTAAGAGTTGTTGGTCTAGCCACATACAGGAGCCTGAAATCCAATGACCACTTTGAAAGCTTGAAGGTGCGTAACTTCCTCATTTCACTTCCTCACTACCTATCACAGTTTCGGAGGCCCTGAAATGGCAAGATAGCACCAACCCTCCAACCCCCCCCCCCCCCCCCCCCCCCAAATGAGCCCTGTTTTGCAGATCTCATTTTTTTCTCGCAAGGTTTTGAAACATATAATAAGAAAAGAAAAAAAATATGTTTTTGTTTTCTTTCTTCACTTTCCAAAAACTTGTGGAAACAAACAAGCTCTGCAAAATACTCACCATGCTTCTTATCAAATTCCTTAGGGTGCCTACTTTCCAAAAAGGGGTAATTTGGGGGGGGGGGTTGGTGCTATCCTGGCATTTCAGTGCCTCCGAAACTGTGATAGGGCTTTATTTCCTCAATACACTTCCTGACTACCTATCACAGTTTTGGAGGCACTTACATGCCAGGATAGCACCAAACCCCCCCAAATTACCCATTTTTGGAAATTAGACACCCTAAGGAATTTGATAAGAACTGTGATAGGTAGTCAGGAAGTGTAATGAGGAAATAAAGCCCTTTAAAAGCCTGAAAGTGCTTATTGGATTTTGGGGTCCTGTACTTGGCTAGACTGCCAAAAAGTCTCTCACATGTGGTACCCCCATACTCGGGAGAAGTAGCAGAATGTATTTTGGGGAGTAATTTCACATATACTCATGGCTTCTGCAAAAAAATATTTTTTTACCACAAGTTTTTGGAAAAAAAAAATGTAATTCTTCTATTGATTCAACATGCCTCTCAGCAAATAGTTTGGGGTGTCTACTTTCCAAAAAGGGGCCATTTTGGGGGGTGGGGGCATTTTATGTCCAGCATTAGAAGTTTATGCCACACATCACTCACTCTTCTAACCACCTGCAGATCAAGCCTTTTATGACACTTTTTGTTCACATGAAAAAAAAATTTATTTTTTGCTAGGAAATGAATTTAGACCCCCAAACATTATATATTTTTTAAAGTAAACACCCTAGTGACAAAAATGGTGGGTGCTGCAATCTGTTATGTCACATAGTGCTCGCGCAGCGATTTTTCAAACGCAATATTTTTTTTTAAATACACTTTTTTTACTTTTAATGCACAAAAACACAATATATTGGCCAATTATTTGGTAAAATATAAAAGATGATGGTATACCGAGTAAATAGGTACCAAACATGACATGCTTTAAAACTGCACATGCCCCGTGTAATGGCGACAAACTGCATACATTTCTAATATCCATAGGCAACACTTTAAAAGCCTTTACAACAGCGGTTCTCAACCTGTGGGTTGCGACTCCTTTGGGGGTCAAACGACCCTTTCACAGGGGTCTCCTAAGACCATCGGAAAACACATATTTCCGATGGTCTTAGGAACTAAGACACCGCTCCTCTATCCGTCTCCAGGCAGGTCCGCCCACATGCAGATACGCCCACATTTCCCTGGATCGCGATGTTTGGGCGGGATGACATGCTGTTCCTGGCCATACCGCCGGGATCACTCAACAGCTCCGCCTCCTCGCCGGTGATTGGCCTCTGGAACTGTATCTCAGGAGAGGCACACAGGCGGCCAATCACTGGCAAGGAGGTGAAGCTTGGAGAGGAGGAGCTGAGCGGCAGCGTGAAGATCAAAGAAAATTGAGTGAGCTGCCGGAGCGACTGAAGAGGAGAGCGGCCGGAGAAGGAAGACAGCTGACCGGTAAGTGTCTGTACCTTGCAGATCGTGCTGCTGCAGCCAGGTATGCTGGCTGTAGATGGGAGATGGAGGGAGCGAGCCCAGGCTGGAGCAGGGGTCAGCAAGGTAAGTATCATTGGTGTCAGTGGGAGGAATAGTGCCCCATCATTGGTATTACTAATACCAATGATGGAGCACTATTTCCCCCCCACTGGCACCAACGATGGGGAACTATTTCTCCCCCCACTGACACCAATGCTGGGGCACTATTCCTCCCCCCACTGACACCAACGATGGGGCACTATTCTTCCCCCCACTCCCACTGACATCAAATGATGGGGCACTATTCCTCCCCCCCACACTGACACCAATGATGGGGCACTATTCCCCCCCCGTCACTGACACCAATGATGGGGCACTATTCCCCCCCACACTGACACCAATGATGGGGCACTATTCCCTCCCCCACACTAACATCAATGATGGGGCACTATTCCTACCACATTGACACCATGATGGGGCACAATTCCTCCCACCGATACCAATGATGGGGCACTACTCCTCTCACTGACACCAACGATGTGGAACTATTCCTCCCACTGATACCAATGATGGGACACTATTACACCCACTGACATCAGTGATGTGGCACTACTCCTCCCACTGACACCAATGATGTGGCACTACTCCTCCTACTGCAAAATTACAGTTATGAAGTAGCAATGAAAATAATTTTATGGTTGGGGGTCACCACAACATGAGGAACTGTATTAAAAGGGTCGCGGCATTAGGAAGGTTGAGAACCACTGCTTTACAACATACCATTTTAGATTTACAGAGGAGGTCTAGTGCTAGAATTACTGCATGGTGCAACCACTGTCTACATACTGGCACAGGGTCAATACCAGGATGATGCCTGCAGTTGTAGGCATCATCCTGGTATAACCAAAGTCCAGTAATGTACCAGTACGTTGCTGGTCCTTGTTGAGTACATTGTTTTTTTTTTTGTATGCAGCCTGTGGGCTGAATGAAAAAAAGAGAATAAATATTTGCCAGAAAAAGTATGTAGTATGCCCACCATTAGAATATACTGCCCTGCATCTACCCACTTCTAATGGTGGGCACACATTAGGTCGCACGGTGCCACATGCACCAATTCCAAGATTTTACAAAAGTCTAAATAGTGGCACGCTTGAATAAAAATTGTCCACGTATAAGTGGTTCCTCATATGGCAAAAGGATGACACCAAGTCCCAAACTATCTTGCCACTACTCCCCATGTAGTTTGGGCATCTGTAGGGCTCCACATGACTATCTTTTCCCTCGTAAATCCAAAACCTATATGTATAGCCTGTTGCCCTCTCACAGGTCTTATACATCTTGCCCCCATATCTGTCAAGCTTGCTGGGGAAAAATTGTTTGAATGAAAGGCGGCCAGAAAGATTAATGAGGGACTCATCAATGCATGTGTTTTGCTTGGGAGTATAGACATCTGCAAATTTTTGGTTAAGGTGATTTACGAGGGGACGAATTTTGTGGAGCCGGTTAAATTCAGGGTCACCCTGAGGACGACAGAGTGTGTTGTCATTGAAATGCATAAAACACATTATACTCTCATATCTATGCCTGGCCATGGCAGCAGAGAACACGGGCATATGATGAATCGGGTCTGTGGACCAATACAACTGCAATTCATTTTTTTTTCAGTAATGCCCATGTTGAGGGTTAAGCCCCCCAAAAATTTAAATTTGGAAACAGTATTGGATTTCCATGCAAATGGTCTGGCAAGGTTTGAATTTGAGTTGCGACGATAAATTGTTGTGCAAATAAATTGCTTTGATCCACAATCAATGCATACTGATATTCCATATAAAACAGCTCCAATAAGCAAATGGGAGTAGTTAAATTTGCTGTTTCCACCTTAATTCCAGGGTTAGACAGTGACTGGGGGAAGTACGGGTGCTGCAAAATTTGTGGGCTGCCAATCGGGATTTGCAAGCACATCCGGAAAGGATACTATGGGCTCTACGGGCCTGTGTGAGAATTCTTGGTCGTTGCAGGACAATACTTGTGTTTGCCCACCGCACCATCTTTTACTGCACTTATGGGACTCGCCACATCACCAGGTGATACTGTAGTGCTGGTATGTGAAAGACCAGGATGTACTAGGCTGCTGGTGCTTGCCAGTTCACCAAAAGGTAGCGCAGCACTAGTACTGGCACTCTGCTGTATATGAGAGTCATCAAAATTTACCAGCAAGTGCTAACAGAGATCAGGCCTGATTCTGCGAACAATGCGGTTTTGTGTGCAATGTATCAAGTGACAGTGACCTACTGACACTGCACTTGCTGGGGGAGAAGGGGGGGGTAAGCGTAAGGGCTAAATGCAGGTGCTGGCAGGTGCCGGGCTGATCCAGCTAACGCTGCGTTTTTGGGGACACTATACTAATGTGAACGCTGATTAAAGACATTGATCTGTTCAGACACTATACTAGCAATAGAGGTTTATTGTGTATGAGCATGTTCCTGGCAATCAAGGGGTTAAATGTGACTACTGGTGGGCAATCTACCTGGGAGGGGGGCGTGAAAACCACGGGAGTGTGAATCACATATGATTTTGCGCACCTGTGCCGCCCTGTAGCAGTAGCTATAGGAAGGTCAGGAAGCAGTTACAGAAGCGGTTTGCGTTACGGCACTGCGTTATTTTAACTGACAATTGCGCGGTCATGCAACTTTTGGCGGCGATCAGCAACTTATAGCGAGACTGCGAGACTGCAGTGGACAATCTGACACTGTGGGGGGACTGACTTGGGGGTCACTGACATCCTCAGTGACACCGATACAGTGATTGGTGCTAAAAAAAATAAAACTACTGACACTGTACTCATGGTACTGGGGAGGAAGGGGTTAACAATGAGAGGCAATCAAAGGGTTAACTGTGTGATGGGAGTGTTTTACTAGGGGGCAGATGGGGGTGTGCTTCACTGTAAGCACACTGATCGGGACAGCTGTGCTTATCCATCCCGAGCAGTGTGCCCAAACTGACAGGGAGGAGAGCTGCATTGAAAACAATGGGCGCTGGCAGGTAATCACCAGCCGGGACCCAGTGATTGACTCCCGAGGCCGCAATCGGCAGCATACATATACATGATCCTGCGCACAGGGGCCGCCTTGCCACAGTATATGTACTATGGGCGGTCCCCTAATGGTTAATTTACACTCAGTACCCTATAATGACAAAGTGAAAACAGAATTTTAGAAATATTTGCAAATGTATGAAAAAAGATAAATGGAAATATCACATCGGCATAAGTAATCAGACTCTGTACAACAACACTTGAAATTTAGCTCAGATGTCACCCGTTTCTCATGATCGTTTCAGACATGTGTCTACACCTTGTCCGGAGTCCACCTGTGGTAAATTAAATTGATTGGACATGATTTGGAAAGGTACACACATCTCTATAAGCCCTGGTTCACACTGAATGCAACTTTGAAATCGCACTAGTTCACTTGAAGTAGTCCTACTGCCTCCTACTCTCTTACACCCTCAGTACCTGTGTGTGTGTGTTGTGTATATATACCGGTATACCGAAAACTACGTTAACCGAGGCATTTGTAAACCAAGGTATGCGTGTGTGTGTGTATATATATATACACACATATACACACACACACACACACACACACACACACACACACATATATATATATATATATACACACACACACACATAGGCATACCTCGGTTTACGAACGTCTAGGTTAAAGTAATTTTCGGTTTACGAACGCAAAGCCATTGAAAATAATGGCTCGGTTTACAAATTATTTTCGCAATATGAACGGATTAATTGGTTTTCAATGCAGTTACAATTTTTTTTTAATCATGTCCCTGTACAGTACTATGCCTTTAAAGTGCACTTTATATAGAATTTTGAACAGATAAAATACTTTTTTTTACTTTTTTCTGACCTCCGGTACGGATTAATTGTTTTTCAATGCATCCCTATGGGAAACTGCGTTTCGGTTTACAAATTTTTCACAATCCAAAAAGTCCCGCGGAACGAATTAAATTTGTAAACCGAGGTAAATATACACACACACACACATATATATATACATACACACATACATATATATATATATATATATATATATATATATATATATATATATATATATACACACACATACATATGTACATTTATATACATACATATGGAACACCATGTATATATACAATATGGAATACAAACAATGCTAAATTAACAAATGCAATAAAATGAAAGGTCCAGGAATAATCTAGTGGCTAGCTGACATTCTCCAATTCAAATGCAGATTGTGCATGCTTTGCAAAGGAAACAAGATGAAAATGGATTTGCACTTTTCATTGTGAAGTCCACAAAGCTGATTATAAACAGGTGTGGTGAGCCAACACATTTAGGGTTAATACATTATTTCCCAAGTCATCATTACGTGGAGCAAACAACTTTGTAAAATAAGTAATCTTGTTAAATGCAAAGGCTTGCAAACTATTATGGCTGAGTAAATATTCCACAATATATTTTTGGAGAAAAGCTGATACAACGGATGTGCTGTGATCTGGAAGCATGAAGGCTTTTTCTATGCCTGGTTGAGCATGGCATAATGTACTATGCATTTCAAAGAACAGTTTCCTGACTCACAGACACACCATACAGCCTAAGGGGCCTGTGACTCTCCTGCATTTCCATCAGAGCTGTTTTGGGGAACAGCTACATATGAGCTGAAATTATGTAAACCTAAAATGAGGGGATGCTGCAAGCAAGACATGTCAAAAAAAGAACAGTCTACGTAGCTCCTCGTTTTAAAATGATACTGCAAAGAAATGGATTTGGCCGCTGGCACTTTGTATAATGCATAAGCTGCTTCACCCTAAAGGAGTAAATTAGCTACTCGCTACATAGTTATTTTTGCTAAAACTAAACTTGGTACAGATTGTTCAGTATTCTTGCCAACGGAAAATTAGCATGTTAGCAGGTTTTTACTAACCATTTTTTCTCTATTTACTACCAAGGTTCTGCTTTGAATTTAAAAATAAAATGTACATTTTAAAAGAGATTCTAACACCAAGCTAAATTCACTTTGTTTGCCCATTTAGTAAGGCTCCATTC